CTTTAAATGTATTTGGCTATAATCTAAAGTCAGTAGTTATTCTATTTGTTCTACCTAACCTTAATTTTTTAAAATGTTTAAGTAGTTTTGCTCCTAATCTATGTCATACAAAATGAATAAATTTAATAATTATTTCATTGCATCCAAAGAATTCTATACTCCCAAGGCAAAAGAATAGAATATATTCATAGTTCATTTTTAAATGAATGCAGTCCTAAGGATGCTATTTTAATTCAGTTTCATATTGACTATATGTTGTTACTGTTGAAACTATGAACTAGTGATTTACAAGGCATGGTATGAAATTCAGATTGGTTGTAGTGATTGACTAATTGAATAAATAACGTGTTACCTAAATCATCACAACAACAGTATACTTTGATTTCACCCATTATTTAGATGCATGATTAGAGCATGATTTTAAGTCAGGAAAATTATTTTTAAAATATTCAATAAAAGTTTGGAAATATAGAGAAAATTAGTATTTTTTTCTGCCTGCAGTGCAGGAGATCCAGGTTCAATCCCTGGGTCTGGATGATCCTCTGGAGAAGGACAGGGCATGGCAACCCTCTCCAGTATTCTTGTCTGGAGAGGAGCTTGGTGGGGTCCATAGGGTCTCAAAGAGTCAGGCACGGCTGAAGCAACTTAGCATGCATGCATAATACAATATTACATGTTATTATATATTATTCTGTAAACACTGTGTCACCTGAATTCAAGCTTCTTTTATTATTTTGTAAAATATAGCATAAATGTCATATTGCATGCATGCTCAATTGCTCAGTTGTGTCCGACTCTGCAGCCCCGTGGATTGTAGCTCCTCTGTCCATGAAATTTTCCAGGCAAGAATACTGGAGTGGGTTGCCATTTCCTACTCCAGAGGACCTTCCTGACCCAGGGATTAAACTAGCATCTCTTGCATCTCTTGCATTGGCAAATGGATTCTTTACCACTGAGCCACATCTATCTCTTTTAACTCTTGCTAGCAGAAACCTTGCATTCATTTGTTTTAGCATATTACAATTTTAGTGGTCTATTTTAGAGAGTCTATAGTCGTTTACCTGGTACTAGTACTAACCTCTATTTAGAGAATAAAGTATTAAAATTATGTATCTATGTATATTTCTGTATATTCAGGTTAGTTCAACTGACTTTTTAAAAAATTTTCAGAGCTTGATTGTTTATAATTACAGTGAAATAGGGGGGCTTCCCTGGTGGCTTAGCAGTAAAGAATCTGCCTGCAATGCAGGATATGCACGTTCAGTCCTTGGGTCAGGAAGATCCCTGGAGGTGGAAATGGCAACCCACTCCAGTATTCTTGCCTGGAAAATTCCACAAACAGAGGAGCCTGCCAGGCTACAGTCTATAGTCACAAACAGTTGGACATGACTGAGAGACTAAGCACACACATGCATACTAAGTGAAATAGTCTCAGGAAAAGAATTGCTGTTTACTACTAATATTTTCCATTCTGAACCATTCAGTGATGAGTCATTTGCTCAAGCTATTTCATATTGCTTTCCTTGTTACCTTGGTAACAAACCTTTATTGTATAGGCACTGTAAGCATGAGGATATAGCAAACCTATAAGCCCTGTCATAGCCCATTTCCTGTGAACAAAAATTGCTCTGCAGTGTTCTGGCCTAGACTGCTTGCCTTCCCATGTGATATCAATGGCAGCCCAAACATTCTTGACCTTAAACGTAATTAGCATGATATTGACAGGTTTTGTAAGCTTAGTATTGAGTAGTATTTGAAGGCCCACAGACACTTAATTATAGCCACTTGCAACCAGGGTATGTTGCCTTGATTTTAGAATATTCTGATAAGTGAATGGAAGTAGCTAGCATGAAACAATCCCCTGGGAGTAAGATAACTGATGGAATACTAAATAAAAATTTCCTTTGGCCAACAGTTTCTTTTTTTCTTGATTATTCTTTATCTGTCTTATCTTTTTAGAACTACTCTATTCTATGTTTTTCCATATTATCTTCTCTCCTTTTCACTGTTGTATTTTTCTCCTTTGTAACCCATTTTTTTATCTCTCTCAAATTCGTACTTTTTCTGTTTTCCCATTTTCAAGGTCTTCTCCTCCCCAAGTAGAGGTATTCTTTTTTTAATACACCATCCATCTGTCCAGTTGTTTCTAAGCAAGTATTTATTACATGTCTGTTCTATGTTAAACATGGTGCAATGACATCATAGACAGGAGATAGATAGTGACTGTTTTTTAATTGAGAGTTTACTATATGCCAGGTACTATTCTAAGTGCTTTATAGATATATATTAACAGACTTAATAGTCTTTATAAACATTCAATTTTTAATCTATTTTATTGGTGAAGAAAGCATAAGTTACTCATCATCCCACAGTTAATAAATAGCAGAACTGGGATATATATTCAAGCTTTGGAGCACTCAGATTGGAGCAAGCAATTATGATGCAATGTGGTTTGACCATTGAAAGTGAAAGTGAAGTCGCTCAGTCATGTCCGACTCTTTGTGACCCCATGGACTGTAGCCTACCAGGCTCCTCCCTCCATGGGATTCTCCAGGCAAGAATATTGGAGTGGGTTGCCATTTCCTTCTCCAGGGGATCTTCCTGACTCAGGGATCGAACCTGGGCTTCCTGCATTGCAGGCAGACAGTTTAACCTCTGAAGGCTTAAACAAAGAAAGTAACTTCTGAACAAAACTCTTAAGTTACCAACTTCTGAATTCGTATAAATTAAAACATGATCAGATCTTGATAAAAGTGAAAAACACTGAGTCCATGATTAGAAGAGGAGGTATTTGGTTGTTTTTATCAATGTGTATGCTAAAATCCAGGGTATATATGCTATTCAACACGGTTTTGAGGTACTTAAATCAATAGACTGATGATCAGTACTTAATCCCAAGGTTGGGAAGAGTTGGAGTAAGGACCTCAGGGTGAAAATCAATAGGGCTTTCTTCATTTTAGTTTCTACTCTTTAATTAAACCACACCAAATGAAATAGAAAATAATTTGGTCCGGAATAGTTTAGATGTTGACATTATTTTGAAAATTCAAGTGGACTATGAATTTCTCTGTTTAAACTCTCCAGTTCTTAAAATAAATGAATCAGGGTCACTAAGATTAATCTGGTGTGTAGAATAGAAATGGTCAGAGAAAGAACCTTACACATAAATCTAGTTAACTAGTGATGAAATCCAAATAAAAGTAGAAATTCATGATAACTTCTTTTTCAAAATGACATAGAAGAGAGAAAACTTTTACATTTTTGGTCCATAATAAATACATAAGGAAAGATGTCATTAATTTGTATCTTTGCTCTCTGAATGCTATTCCTTACATATTTCCTTTTGTTTGGTTCTGGAAAACTGCCAGAAAATAATATTTTTAATATACATCATTGTTTTAATATGCACAGTTAAAATCTATTTCTCATTGTATGTATTTATACTATTTATACTGTCATGGCTCAGAAGGACTGATTTACTGCTTTGCCTAAATATTTATTTTTTATGTCGTTTTCCTTCCTACCCCCCTGGAAAATTTTTTTTCAAAAGGAATATATCATGAAAATAACATTTAAAAATATTTTTCTTGGCACTTGATGCCAAATGTAGCTAATCTGGAGAAAAGCATCTTTTCCCTTAATATTTGTAATGAAAATCTTTTTTGAAGGTTCTAGATAATACAAAAATACAGTCTAAGTACATGACCTGTGACCATTTCATTATCAAGGAATTTTGATCTCATTCTAAAGTAGTCTTCTCCATGATTTTCTCAGACTTCCTTTTGCATTGATATTATCTGTAGACATTAGGCACAAGGTAAGGAATAAAATCAACAATCATAGTAATAACATTACCTCCAAAATTATTTAGAAGGCAGGTGATTTGATGAATATTTGCCTCTTAGGCAAGAACAAATGTAAACTACCTTGTTTTAATATTTCTTATTGATTTCTGAAATTTCCAACTTGTTGTACATTGATTTTTGAGAGGAAAACAGACCAAAATCTTGTTTCCTTTTTAATGTACCATGTACATAGGATATACACTTGAAATAAATGTATTATTCATATTTAGAGGGAAATGAAAAGACAGTCTAAAATATGAAGTTAGAGAGCAGATATTAAGAGAAATAGGAAAATCTCAATAAGATGATGATCTGAACCCTAAAGTTGAGAGCAGTGTGGTAGCTTTGGACTAAGGAATCTGGATATGATTTAGACTGTACAAGACATCAGCACCGTCAAACCAAGGAGGGGAAAAGGGGATCTTCTATTACTAACTGGAAATTTATTTTCAACTAATTCTTGGATTATTTATAGTTACATATAAAACAGTGTTTCTCTATAAGCTCTATTGAAGTACTAAGGAACTGGAATGGCAGACTGTCTTTGGAAATGTGGGGTGCAAATAGAGTCACTACGTGTAGAGACCATGTAACAGTGATGTGCAGTTGTGAGAAATGGCCGAGAGTAGTGGACAAGAATGCTAAAAAGTCTCTTGTGAAAGTCTATTATAAAATGGAATCACAAAGAAATGGCATCTCTCCCTTTCTCCCTGACTTCTTATCCCCAATCTCTTAAATACACTCCTCATGTATACATTTTTGAAGCACCAATTTTATATCAGCTTTAAAGGCACCAGCTTGCATAAAGGGATACTTTTATTTCATTATAGAAAATGTAGGTTTGTGGCTTTGATATTTTTATTGCTAGGATAGCGATACTGTTCTTTAAATAACAATACCAAAGTTGTATTTCCCATAGTTTATTTTTTTTTCCACTCTAATTCTGTCATGCCATTGTGTAGGCGTACTTGCTATGGTAAAGATCTGAAAAAGCCATCATGCTTTGACACAGAGGAAAAAAACTTATGACCATGTTTCATCTTAATGTCAACCGTACCTTGGGTAATTGTTTTTATCATAGTAGAAAAACTAGGTGTTCTCGGGCTTTTTAAATAATTATTTCAGTATTTCAGTAAGTATTTGTTTCTTTCCTAGGGCCGGTGCATAAACTTCTCTCGAGTTCCATCTCAGTAAAAGGAAAACAAGAAGACCAAGAGGTACGAAGGCGGCACACGTTTACAACGCCGATGAAAAAAAGTGCATTTCAGAAGTTTTTGGAAGAGCAACTTTATTCCTCTCAGTCAGGAAATGTTTTCTCTGCCTTCTGCTTTGCTTCACCAAACATTTTCAAACACTTGTTCTGCCGTCTACATGGGAGTTGATGAAACTCAATGGTAACTCATGATTCAGGACGTTGAAAATAAAGAGGAACATTAATGGACATGCTGTGGTTTAAACAAGAAGGTCTGCTTGAATGTGTAAAAGAGGAAAAAGTGAAAACAAAAGTGTGAAGATGATGTCAAAATAGGGAGAAAAAAGACAATTGGTTGAGGTGGATCCTGAATGGAGAAAGGAGTGTTTTACATGGAAACATGGCACTTGTGTGTTTACATGGCAAGATTGTTAGCCAAAGGCAGAGTGCGAAATCTCCCACCAGGCTCAGCAAATAATGGAGTCTATTGCCTTATAGCTATGTCAGATCACGAAAGCCTTCCAAGTCCCCCTACCACAATGTGCCTTCCGGGAAGCTTCTGACTGGAAAATCTTGTCATTCTAACACTGAAAAGTGCACACGCATGACAAAATGTAGACAGGATGCCTCAAGGTATTGGTAGCAAGCAAGATTTTGCCCTTTAGTTTTTGAAGACACCTTCCTTTCATTATGCACTTGGGAAAAGAAGAAAATTAATAGTGCATTATTCCACAGGAAGACAGCCTCTAACCAGAGATCTTGAGTGGAGTTTAATGGACTCATGATTTGAGAACTTGTCCCTGTGATGGGTCGATTTACCCCTCTTGCTATGTTTAGGGCTTAGTAGTGCATAAAGCATTAATATCTGTAAACATTTCTAGGAGTTTGTTTTGCTTTTAATTTAAAGGAAGCAGTAACCACAAAGCTTCCGCTCAGGGTTTTTTCTTCCTCCAAGTCTCCAAGGGCTCTTCAGCGTCACAAGCCAGCAACTCTCTTTGCATGAAAATTTCAAAGTTTAATTAATATAATTAAAGGCAACAGCAAGCAGCAGCCTGTGAAGATTTTGCTCATCTTTTTTATGCCTTTTGACATTGAATGACCTATTACTGTATGCGTATTTCTTGGATTTTTGAGGGGCACTCTACCTTGGTTGTGATTCAGTAGAGAAAAAACAAAAAGACCTCCTCTCGTCAAATTATAAATGAAAATATCAGGAGGGTCGACCACCCCGAAACATCGAAAATGTCTGTATTATATTTTTTTTTAAGAAAAACCACCATCATGTCACGTCGACGATGCCAAATTATGTTAGCGTGAGCGGAAAGACTGTGGGGGAGGAAGGAGGCAGCAGCTGAAGAAAAAGCTCAAATGATCTAGTCACTTTCGATACTGTACTTCAGATGCAAAATGGATATTCGACTGGAAACCTGACAAAGCGCGCCTGCTTTGATGTGAACTGGTATAGACAATGACCAGTGGCTGGGTCAGTGGGATGTCTCTCTGCGAGCACAAAGGCTTATCAAATGACACTAAAAATAAGTTCAACAACCATCATGTTGGAAGGGAGAAGGCGAACATTTCATGTTTGGCGGGCATGTGAGTGCACAAGATGGAAACAGCGATTTGGAGCATCCCAGTATAATTACCCCCATTGTGCTCTTAATGGAAATTTCAAAGGACGGGAGTGATTCTGATGGTTGGTGTTCAGATTTGTGGCACTGTTCCAAGAAGCCTTACTCAGACACATGAATTTTTATATATAGATATACATATATATCCTCTAGCTTGAATCTTTTGCTCAAGTTTATTTATGTCACTGGCTGGCTGGATCCAAAGTCATGTGTCTCCATATTCATAAATAAAATTTTACCTGTGCTTTGGCTCCCATTTTCTTTAAGCCCACATACACTCAAGCCTTGTTTGGTTGAATATTGAATTGTCTTGGCTAGTTGCAGGGACAGAATTGTATCCAGTTCCAAAATGTCTGTTATGTTCACAAATGATAGTGTTGGTAGTAATTATCCATGTGTGCAAGTGAAACTTGGAAACCACATACATCCCCATTGAGTTCTTGTAGACCATTGTTCTACATTTGCATCTGGGGCAGATGCTGTTTTCTTAATTTGGCCTTTCATTTCTGATCAGTTGTTGTTTAGTCACTAAGTCATGTCCAGCTTTTGCGACCCCATGGACTGTAGTCCATTGGGCGCCCCTGTCTATGGGATCTCCCAGGCCAGAATGCTGGAGTGGGTTGTCATTTTCTTCTCCAGGGGATCTTCCGGACCCAGGGATCAAACCCATGCCTCCTGCACTGGCAGGTGGATCCTTTACCACTGAGCTAGCAGGGAAGCCCTTCTGATCAGCGCACACCCCCCAAATGGTATTGAAGAGCATCAGGGGTACATGCAGAAGCTAAGTCTGCTTCTTTGGTAGTTCCTTTGAATTCGTCTAGTATCATATGGCATTTCTATGACACTTTTATTTTTTATATGAGCAATGTAAGTAGACCTTTGCCCTTAAGTGGCAAAGTAGGTTTCTGTAGATTGTAAGGAAAATGGATTTCCGGTTCTAATATCACTATGAAGAGCTCTCAATGAAGAGGGAGAGGCAGTGGTCTATATACAGACCACAAACGTATCATTCATGAAGTTCAAAGACATGGAATTTTATTGCACTTGAAGATACAAACTAGATCTAGGTTAATGATTTTCTCTGATTTTGCTAACTAGCAAATTGAGAATAATTTGCTTAAAAAGTGTTGTTTTCTCACAAAAGGACAAAATTGAAAACCTCCGTGCCTTTCAGTTAAGAAAATAAAAGGTTGAAATAAAGCCATTTCTTTAAGTTTAATAGTGTTTTCTATTGAGAAACAGTTCCTATTTAATTTTCTGGACATAATGTCAGTCAAGATCTACTTTCTGTGAATAAGCCAGTTTAAGTCTTTATCCACAATCCATTTGTGTTGCATAAGGTTGCAAAAACAATTAAGTGGGAAATGACTCCTAACTTATGTGTCTACTCTGCCTGGAAAGAAAGTTTTGAAGGCATCTATATATATTTCATAACAATGTCTGTTCTTTATGGATTTGATCCATAAATATTTATCTATCTGAAAACTTTGATACTTGGAATGTTTTCCTTAAAGCATTTGGTGCTCCAAGAAGAAACATTTGGTGCTAAGAGTTACAGCACTGATGTCTTTCCCCAAGTTAATTCTATTTTAAATTTTTATATTTCCTTCCCAATGAGATGCAGAGTAAAATTGAGACCCTCCATTAAGTGGGGAGCAGCATCTGTCATCTATGGATAATTACTATTTTGGCAAAAATATATAAGATTTAAACGTTCTACATTTTAAATTGTTAGAAAGGAAATGATTTGCTTATATTTTTCCTGAATTTTATTCTAACCACTTTAAATCATAAATTATTCAATATTTGTTTTTCTAATAAATCCTTACTGGATACAAGATCTGAGTGTCTCTGTGAACTTAACTTTATTATCTAGATATCATTGACCATTGTTTACTGCTCAGAGGCATTTTATTAGATTATTTTAAAAATTAAAACATCCTGTATTGTGGCCAAGAAGGTGTCTAAAGTGTTTTTTTTAATTGAACTGCTTACATATATTATTTTTCAATTTTAAAAGGGTAAAATATAAATGAGTAACATTTAAAAATATTGTAAATATTATAACTTCCTCTATCACAAAGCCTTATGGTTAACTTTTACTAGATTTTGTTCAGCATCACATTACTTTAGGAAGTGTATCACTTCTCTATTGCTACTAGAAAAATGTTAGTATTGCACAGGAGAGAAATACATACATTATTTTAATATGAAAGGAAATACCTATTCTAGAGTCATCCAATAACTCTGATTCATCTCTTGGATGTTTACGTAAAGAAACAAGGAGGTGAGATTGGAGCGTGTTGTCTGTTTGCAGATGATGAAGTGAGTGCGGCCACATACTCTAGACTCAGTTAAATTAATATTTTACCAAGTGAATTTCTATGGCTTATTTCAGAGAACACTTCAATTTGGGGATGTTTCTACTCTTACCAGGATCTAATTCAGTCAATTTGACAAAAGATAGAAAAACTTCTTTCTCATAGTGTAGCAAGCCCTGTGCTGGGGTTTTTTTTTATGCATTTTATTTTGGGGCTCTTCTGCCAAAAGAAAATGCTGATAAGAAAGTACAGAGTATAATATGCAAATTTATATTAAAATGTGCTTGTTCAGATTGCTTTGCAAGAACTATATTAAGGTAAAGTGTGTGCGTGTGTGTGTGTGTGCATGAAGCAGGCAAGGAAGAGAGAGAGATGGAGGTTGACTCAGACTACATGCATGCTCAGTTGCTCAGTCGTGTCTGACTCTAGCCTGCCAGGTTTCTCTGTCCATTGGATTTTTCAAGGGAAGAATACTGGAGAGGTTTACCATTTCCTCATCCAGGAGATCTTCCTGATCCAGGGATCGAACCCACATTTCCCATCCTCATTCTTTGCAGGTGGATCCTTTACCACTGAGCCATCGAGGAAGCCCAAATGTGCTACAAATTGTTTTGGCTTAAGAATCAGATGATGGAAGTTCTGGACCTAGATCTAGCCACAAGTAGCTTGATGAAATTGAACAAATTAGCTTCTCAACCATAGAGTGAAAATGGATGAACTGGAAATACCTAAATTTCCTTCCAGCTCTGACGTTTTTATAAACATACATCTTATTTGATGTTTTAGTATTTATGTATATCATAGTTCAATGACTGGCTTCATTTGTAGAATGTGGTAATATTAGCTCTGTAAACTGCCAAAATCTGATAATATAGTACAAAATCTGATAATTAGCCATGATAGAGTAATTTCTCAGTAAATTTCTTTTAACTATACTTTGTCAAAGAGGCAACTGATAATAAACTTTATATCTGCTGAAACCTCTCAAAAGTTGTGTAAAATATTGGAAAATATATTCATGTGTTTCACGTAGACTTTATAGTCTTAACA